CGCCGATCCGCGAGTCGGCCGGTTGATCGTCGCCCGGTTCCACGATGAGTCGCTCGACGATGACGGTGCGGGGGATGATGATGGAGTCGACGACGGGCGGCATGAGGGAGACCCGTCGTTTACGTTCGCAGATCGATGTAATGATACGGTGCCGTTACTGGCGTGCGATCATGTAATCGATGGTCGCCACCGAACGATGTGGTTCGAGTGCTGAAGAGGTCGATGGACCCCGACCCCGATGACCTGTCCGCGTCCTCCCAGAGGGGGGGGGAAGGGAGGTTGGGGGCCACTTCCGTTCATCCGAGGGTAGTGGGATTACGGGAGTATTTTTGGATTTTGGAGGTTAATGCTCGAGAGGCGGAGGGGAGGATCTCCTGGCTCGTTTCCCCTCGTCCATCGCTGCCCTTCTTATCGCTTTCAAACCGAGATTCGAGTAGGTGTAGAATGAAACGTTTGGGGTGAAGGAACCTTTGGATTTTGAATCCGCAAGATGCACGTGCTCTCTGGGGTTCGTCGATGCGCGTGGAATCTGAGGAGACGGAGTGGAAGAAATGCGAGGATCCGCCGGGTTTCGCGCGGAAGACGTGCCCAGGCGCGCGTTTCGCGTGACGAGCGCGCGTCCGGGTCACGCGCTGGACGCGTGATCGCATGCGTCGTGTGAATGTCAAGGGGAAAAGGGTCACGGGGGCGTGGGCGGATCCAAGGGAGAGCCAGAAATAGTAGCGATCGAACGGAATGTTCCAGTACTGCAGATTTATTTATTGGCGATTCACTTCGCTTGATTGCTGAGCAATTTTGAGGAGGGTACTTCAAGGTTTCTGATTCACCTGAAGGGAATCGGATTGTCATTCGCCTGATGACCTAGATAAATGGAACTAGGTTGTAAATAGCGCGGCTGTTTGCGCGCGGAGCAATAAAATGCCACTTTCTCCGCTTCGACGTTTCACGTTGGACGTTTTCTCCCCGACTTTCTTTTATGCCTGGATTTTAGGACATAGTTGGCATCGAAGAGATTCTGGTCGAATTTCTGACGAGGGCGGAACACTAGTCGTATTTTTTTCGTTTTTGAAATTTTTTTTCTTTACAAGGAAAAGTTTTTATTGATAGGGAGTGAAGAGGTTTTATCCCTGGTTGTTGTCTTGCCGCTAAAAACGCGGAGCCATCAGTTGATTACCACTGAGACGTGAGCACACTCGAGCACGCGCGCGTTTTCGTCTCGAAGGGCCGAGATACGGAGTCTACGTCACATCCCGTTACTAAAAAACACTTGTGAAGGTGCATAACAGAGTCGTTCGAATGAATTGGGAAGACTTTTTGAAACCATGGAATGTTACTCTGACTTAAAGAGTTTTGTCAGATGCCAAATTTGCGAAATTCGAGATGGAGACGATGATGTTTGGTCGTTTGTTGGTTTTGCAGGGACGCTGCTGACGATCGGGACGATCGTGGTGGGCGGGTTCGTGGTGGCGCTTGGGTTCATCCTGCTCAGCGTGGCGGTGTGCGTGACGTTGGCGTGGCTGGGGCTGTCCAACGCGTATAACATGGCGGTGGCGGTGAGGGGGGAGAGGCCGGTGGCGAGGCACAACGGGGTGCATGTCAATGGGCATCCGCATCGCTTGCAGAATGGATTCTTGAAGAAGGTGAGGATTGGGGTTGGGTGGAGGGGAGGTCGAGAGGGTGGGAAGTGATGGGGAGGCGATGGGTCATGTCTTAGTGGATCTGCTTGAGGGATGGAACAGGTTTCTGGGAGGGATGGAAGTTTGCTGGGGGGGGGGGGGGGGGGGGGGGGGGCAAATCGGTTGAGGGTCTTGGGTTCATTGAGGGATTGGAATTCCCCGAGTAAGCGCAGGCGAAGGAACCTATTTCGATGTAACGGGAATTTCGATTTCATCAGACATTCCAGTGTCCAATAAAGCAAGAGCGTTCTTCCTTCATTGCACCCCACGTTCATGTGCCTCAGAGTATGACGTTCAATTTTGGAGGCCTGCAGAAGAAAATAATAATAATTGCGATGGAGAGGGTTCAGAGGCGGAAAATGAAGAAGTACGGGGAATGATATACGAGCGGCGTTTAGACACGTCGAGACTGCGTTCGCTGTGGAGAAGGTCCATTAGGGGAATGGCATCCAGGCTTTTAACAACATTATGGGCAACGCGGAGCATGGGAGATTTTTCCAACCCGGTGGTAACAAGGACGAGAGATAATCGGCTCGAGAAAGATGTAGTGGTCGTCCCTACCACGGATGACTAAGAAGAGGTTACAAACCCATCAAAGTCGATACAAAAAAGGGAGGAATGTACGTGCACAGAGCAGGACAAGTGATCGGCACCTTCCCACCGCAAACACTCACCTTCAGAGGTGTAAATCCGTCTCAGCTCATCGAGGACGAGAACGAACTCCAGACCTCGACTCGGGACATGAACGCGACCACCAACGCCTCCAGTCGTCTCGGCCCCCGATCTCCATACTCGCTGGGGCCTTCGTCCCCCAGGGATCGCTCTGCCCTCCACCGACGGCGTTTTCTCAACGTTCCGTGCGAGAGATGGGAGCCTTCCTGCTTGGTGGCTTCCACTCGGAAACGAACGCCCGACTCGGTCGTGGTCCAACCCAGGTCAGCGGTTGTCGGGCGAGCCACGTCCGATTCGATTAGAATTCGAGGCGAATGTCGAGGAACTCATTTTTAATCATCAGTCGACGACCGCTCAGATGAAACTGTTCTTCTCTTCTTGCCTCATTAATAGTTTTATAGAGACACCATTTCTAAGTTTCGTGGAAAAAGGATAGTTACGCAGAATCGTATCAAAAGACCAGTCGGGATGGTTCCTTCAATTTGGATGGATGATATTGCCAACCTTTTAGGAGAGGGTCTCGATCTGCTGAGCCTTTCGCCCACGATCGTGAACGCTGGACGATGCTCGTCCGTCTCATTCAGCCGCGACCCCAATCGAAGAAAGAGCCATTAAGGAGATTTGAAACCAAAATCGAAAAGACAGATGCTGTCGACCCGATTCCATTCGAAATTCGCACATTCCGCGTCAACTCCAATAATCCGCGTCCATTGCTTCATACTTCCTTTATTTTTCCCTTCAGCCATTTCCTAGTCGCCATAAATCTCTGGAGAACGACATACAATAGCCTTGTTTCGACGAGAAGAGATTCCCGGGAAAAAAAAAGTGGGCCAGGTCGAAACACTCAGCCGTGGGGGGGGGGGGGGGGGGGGGGGCGGAGGAAGTACATGGTAAAAAGCCTTAATTTGAGTAATCCATTCCAGCCTTGAAGGTGCATTTATAAGAGCACCTCATCTGCAATAAATATTTCATAAGAAAAACTAAAGAAGTCATGTTTTTGGATACCTATATTTTGAAGTTTTACAGCATTAGTTTGCCGGTGTGGGTTTCGGGTTAAGGGTTGGAAGGGACGTGTTGCAATGGATTCTTGACGAGGGTCGATTGTTTTTTCCAGGGAGGACGAGAAGTCTTGGAAGGAGCTTCCATCGCCGAGAAAGACCTGTGATGTGTCTGTCTCGTTTTGTGATATAAAGACGAAGGGAATGGACGTCGATCCCTGCTGTTCCGTGGTACAAAGAGCGAGGATTGCAGGGTTGCATCTCTCCCGCCTCGTTTCGTATCGAATGAGAGAAGTCCGTTGTATTGTGTTTGTAATGTATTGGCTCCAGATTTTTTTCTTTGGGCTCTCTTAAAGTGTCTTGAATAAAATTTGATTTTTTTTTCTTATTCGATTTCCGAATTCTCATTTGACTGGGACGAGTCGACGATTTCTTGCAACAGATCGACGAGGCAGAGTTGTTTTAGTTTTTATGGTTGGAACACGAAGAGGGAAACGTGAAAGGAAACCTTATGAGCATGAGATGTTTTGAGATTCAGTGGATGTTGCATCAGCCTGAAGACGAGAATGAGGTCAGAGGAACAAATGAACTCTCGCTCCCCCCTTGGAATTTCTACATGTTGAAGGAACAAGATTTCGTGAGGGATGAGGATGGAACTACGCCTCGTGATGCCCTTAAATTGTTGCTTTTGTTCCCTTCTCTCGAGGGGGAATCGCGCAGGGCGACATCTGGTCGCCAGAGCTGCAGTTGATTGGCTCCTGTCGGGTCGAACAGATGTCGGGACCGTCGCGGGCAGAAGCACGTGCATGGGCATTGCATGATGTGCATTGCAGTCGCGGCTTGTTCGAACTGTTCGTGGGCCTTCACTCGATTCCATTCTCTCGATGCTAGATCCCATTCTTCCCAAGTATCTGGCCTTTAGCTTTGCGTAATCTTAGACGAATGGATATTTAGATGCGTCTGTGAAAGGCAAGTACCGGGCCGTCATGTCTCAACGATCAATATTCACGGTAGGCCTAATACTAGATCTGGCGCCCTACCTTTCGTTATCGAGCTGGAAGAAAAAAAGAAAAAGAAAACAGGGCTTACCTGGGGCTCAGAGCTTGACTTGAATCTTCTGAATCCTTTTTTTTTTTTGCTAGGTCTAACTTTAGGTGGAAGCTCTTGATATCAGCTTGTCATGGCATTACTCAAGAAACCAGATGACCAGGAGTTTGAGCTTCAACGTCGACCTATAGGGTAATTGTCAAGATGGAAAAAAATGAACATGGAAATCCACAGACTCTCTTCAAGTTGTGCGTCAATTTCATCTCTTCAAATCTGCATCAAGTGGATTCCCTCTGCAATTTTCCCGATGACATCAGTAAAGAAATATTGATGGAAGCCATAAAGAAGGGGTGTTTGGAGACCCCAGATGAGCGATGCACCTCAATTCTGCAGCTCTATACGAAAGCTTTCCCCGAATCTCTCATTCATGCTCTGCAGGGACCGATTCCTGCATTTCAAGTCGAGACTTTCAAGTGGCAGATTGCCCTCCTCATCCCATATCTTACATTTCTTGACTTGTCCTACTGCAATTTGAATACCAGTAGTTTACAATGCATATTGGAGAGCATCTGCAATGCAAATAGGTATGTCACATTTAATTCAGTAGGTGATTAATTGTGAATTGGTTTGCTGGCCCAAACGAGCCACTGTCCTCGTGATCAGGCTGAAGGTGTTGAAGTTGCGAAGATGCGGGATCGTAGAGGCTTCGGTGAAGAAGATGGTGCTTCCTGTGTCCATGTTCGGCAAGGGACTAGCTGCCTTGGAGTATCTGGACATCTGTGGTGAGCTCTGACTTCCAATCTCTTTGGGCTGTTGTGGATTGGTTGGAGCATCTCTTATGTGTTGATGGGTAGGTTATCCCAGAGAACCCAAAGATTAGAGCTATAAGTGGATCTCTGATTGGGCTCAAAATGGGAAGCTGGGCAAGGAAACAGTCATGAAGCTTCTTATTCAATGGATATTTCAGGGACTTGAAAGAAGTTTCATTATTTCCTGTGAGGACAGTTTTCAAGACAGGGCCAGCAAGCACATCCATTTCAGCATTTTCTTGACATCTGGTACCCTATCAGTACTCAGTTACACTAGTTTTTTGGCTTTACTCTGGGCTCTGTGCATTATCCATATGTTCCTGCTATATTGAGATTTTTCATTGAGTCACTGTTAAAATCTGCCTTGGAATTTTCCCCCCTAATATTGCCAACAATTATTGTATTGGGGAATAATATTCCCCAATACAATAATTGTTGGCAATGTATTCCTTGTTAGGGCAGTAATCATGCATGGAGCCCATAACCATGCCAGTCTGTGTGACCAACATGAGTGAGTGATGCATAGGGTAAGAAGGACCTTGGCCTCAAGTGGTGTAAATTATGGGTATTCCTTTGTTTGCAGAGAATTGGATCCCTGGAAAGAGTATTGTGAGGATTTTGAAGTTTCCCAGGATTGCAACTATTGTTTTCTCTGAGCCCTATGGATCTTTTGAGAGAGTATGTATATCTTTTCCTGATTTTCACTTGGTAGATGCCCATTTGACAATGGGGAACTTGTTTCCATTTCTCTTGCAGGAACTGGAAAGTCATGGATTCACTCTCAAGGAGGATGTTGAGGTACCTCTGCCAAGGACAGCCGGGTGGCTGGATGAGTATTATGACAACAAATTCAAAGCTGTGCCTGTCCCTCTTTCATCAACAGCAAAAAGTTTCTGTGAGTTGCATTTATGATCAAGTCAGGTAGATTCAGCCCACCAAAGGTTTAAAAACTTTTTTTAAAATACAGCCTGCTGACAGGGTTAGTAAGATCCTTGACCACATTCAAGCCAGTCATCCCTGATCAAAAGACAATTTCCACCTCCCATGCTGCAGGCTTTTGATACCCTTGATGCTTTCTATTTTCATCCTGCAGATGGAGGAAACACAGTGAGCAATCCTAGCAGATTTGGAAGGAGTTGTACAGGCATAAGGGTGAAAGGGAGTGAGAAAAACAGAACTAATAGGCTTAAGCGAAAGCGCGATGCCGGTGGAAGTGTATCTAAGAGAGATGATGGTGATGAATTACTCTTCTCCTTATACAGTTGATGTGATGCTGAAGTTGACTTATTATTTCTTCAATTTTTAATCAATAAAATGAAAGGCATTAGGAGCATCAATGTAAAGTGAAGCCCATGGTTCCCAGTAAAGGTTATAGATCTCATCAAAACAGTAAATCTTTAATAGCAAGCTGAAGCTTGAAAACAAAGCGTGTGATAGAATGAAGTAGAGCATAAAAACTAGAAATTTTTTAAATTTGGCATAAGAAGCTTCATGTTCTGGCACACAAAGGATTATTTTTTGGGCACATTGGTATTGTGTCAGTCCAGCCTAGGGGCCTGGAGATTTAACAGCAAGATTTGTTCTGGTCACCAATGTGTTAAAGAAAATGAGTTAAAAAAGCAGAGCTCCATCAGAACTGGATTCAACTACTCTGTGGCAAATTGCCATTAACAACAGGAGCTCCATGAGCTTCAAGGTACATAAAGACCTTTGATTTGATTTCTGAAAGGTTCTATAGTGATCAGATGTCAGTCTTTCATTATCATTACAAGGTATAGCAAGATTTTGGACAGTTCTTAACACATATTTTCTGAAAAGCTGAAAATGTTCTAATTATTATGGGAAAAACTTCTTAGTGATATGTCTTCTCCACACTTACGGCATCCATTCAAGGATAATTATGGGATTCCTTATCACCTATATTTTGAAGTTTTACAGCATTAGTTTGAGAAAATTAACTTAGCTATCTTGTGATCATTCCCCTTCTGGAATGCTTCCAGATTTCTCCAGAAGCCCTCTTCTTTATTTACAAATAGAGCACCATAAATGCAGCACCTGGCTGCAAATTGACCAGTTTGATATGTTCCTTCACTAAGGTTTGGTTGTGACTAGCCAGGGATTAATGGCAGAGCAAAGTTGATTAGGAAAGAAATGAAGCCATTGTGCCCAAAATATAATGGTCATGCTGCTACCACAAGTACATGGTAAAAAGCCTTAATTTGAGTAATCCATTCCAGCCTTGAAGGTGCATTTATAAGAGCACCTCATCTGCAATAAATATTTCATAAGAAAAACTAAAGAAGTCATGTTTTTGGATACCTATTCTAAAGTGGATATTGACAATACTGTGATTGGGATCTGCAAAGATCTGATCTGCAAATCACATGTATATTTTTTTATGTGTCAGCTTTAAGAAAAGATATGACAATCAATGCTTTTGAGGCAGTAAGTCAGCTGATTGTTGAAAAGACAATTGCCAGGATAGCATGGCACATGGGCTTAACTGAAGGTTTAATTATCATAGCATGCACCATTGAAAAAAGTATTGTACAGCAGAGTGGGGTACCATGGATAATGCTGTTCATGGCTCTCCCAGCTCTGTTTCTCTTCATGTCATCTACTACATATCTTCCAGCTTAGATACCAGGAAAGTGTGGTTGAAAAAAGAGTAGTCCCCACCCAAAGTGGAGAAATGGTGCTGAGCAAAGTTGTACATGCATAAGGCAGGTTGTGATTGAGATGCAACAAATTATTTTGGCTGCTCTCCTTTGCTATTTGTTCTTTTGATATATTTGCTTATGACAAAATGAATGCCAAACAAAGAATGGAGATGGGGAGGTTGACATTTATTCCTACACAGATTAATCTCCCAAAAGGCAAATGAAGGAAAGAATGTAACAGGATCAGGTAGGGATGTGTTCCATGCTGCATTTCAATTCCCATACTTCCTGGAAACAGATGGAGAGCAGGAAACTAGTTGAAAAGCTTCACAGAAGAAAGAAATGCTGCAACAGATGAGCATACAGTTGGATTGTTGAAGATTCCCCACAAGATTCAGCATCATTTCTTCCCTGTTGACTCTCTCACTGGTGACCTATTGCATGGGAAATGGAAGGGAATCCCAAAACTTATTCCATTCTTTCAATCAATAAATTATTATAGTTTGAATTCCATGACAGTTGGTGTAATATGAAGCAATTTTATGCTTGACTGAATCATGCAAAAAGCTTAGCTTGGCTTGCATCAATATAAAATAATCTAATGAATACTTATATAATTACAGACTAGCTTCCTCTTGGAAAATTCCTTAATGTAACAAATCTGAAATCTTATGAAAGCCCAACTTCATAAATGGAACTATAGAAATTATACTGGCTCAAAAGAAGTTTGTCAAGCATACCCCAAACCACTTGACATGGAATGACTATTACTTAAATTGTCAGATCATGATAGGCCTAATATATATGAGGATGGAGGAACGATGACGACCTTGTAAAACCCCGTTTTACCCCCTTTACCTTGACCTGGATCTCCGCGGTGAACGAGATCGGGATCTCCTCTCTTTCTTTGTCCCTTCATGAGATTTTGCATTTGATGTCTTGGATGTGGAACTGGCTCTAGGAGAGTAGGAGAGTAAGATCATGTTATCACTCTAGGAGAGTAAGTACTACTCATATCTATTGCAATGGAGGCTCACTTATTGGAAGTAGAGGGTTCATCTTTCTTATCCTCTGAATCAGAATCACCCCAGCCACTCAAATCATATTTGGACAAATCTCCATCATCATCATCATCTTCTTCATCTTCCTCATCCTCATCATCTTTGTCATCCTCATCTTCGTTTTCTTTTTCCTCTTTTTCCTTTGGTTTAGCTTTCTCCTTTGGCTATTTAGCCAACAAATACAGATAATTAAAAGAAAACATTGTAAATCCAGTTTAAAACCATTGCTATGATGGACTTCCTTTCTAAGTTTTCAGGAGTCTCACCTTCTCCTCAGGCTTGTCTCCAGGAGCAGCCCTGAACTTCTTCTTCTTGCGACCAAACTATAGGATGAAGAAATAAGAGGCAGATGTGGCAAGAGGTAAATATACCAAGAGATTGCATACCTATGTCAGACTTGCATAAACTCAAAACTGGCAATATGAAAAAAGGTAAGTTCTTGCCCTCATAAAAATAGCCTATTTTCCCTCATGCCAGATCATCAATGATTTATGAAATTGACTGAATGAATCATCACTTCCTAGAACTAAACAGTCTAAACAAAAGGGGAATTTTCTCTCCCCTTATAATTCATGGGCTTACTTCATTTTCTCACTCAAGCATTAGTTCTATATCCACAAAGATACTCCCAAGAAGTGACGACGAGAAATAAATATAACATTTTGAATAAGTGAATAACCCATCCTCTTCTCAAACTCTTATTGGCTGGATGAGAGCATGATACAACTGTTACAGCTTTCCCAACTCATGCAGTGGAAATGTAATCTTGAATTGTTATAATTATAGTTCCTGGTTTTGCTCTCAATACTAAGGTAGAAGCCACAAAAACTGAGATATGAGTTCAGCAACTCTAATAGAAGCAGTTTTCAGATATTTCATCTTAGTGGCACAAAATGGGGACTATGACTCATCATCACCTCATCATATTCATCGTCGGATTCCTCCCTTTCTATGTATTCAACATTTTCTCGCTCATTATATCCACCACCAAATCCTGTCCTCTCCTCTTCTCCAAATTTTGCAGCATTGCACATATTACAGGTGTTCCTCCTTGCCCAATTGACGTTTCCACATCTGAAGAGAAGACAGGCTTAGCCCTTGGTACTGTGCCAAAGATCAAATAGCAAACCAACCAAAGGAAAACTCACTTTGGGCACATCCAATCATCAGCAGAGAAGAGGCCCTTGCTCTTCTCTGCTGCAGCTTTCCCAATCTCAAAGCCAGCTTTTCGTTTCTTCACTTCACAATCAGCTCTCTCTGCCAGAAAGTAGAGAAGAAAACAGGAATAGCATTAAGAACTTCCATCTTCTCTATGTTTGTTTGAGAAGGTATATTGACTCACCAACACCACATCGATTGCAATTCTTCCGCCATGAAAAATTCAAGTTCCCACACCTGGAAGAAAAATGAATCCAAATTTAGACCACCTTATGGATTATTTTAATAATGGAGTTCCTTGAAGGTTGAGACTGTTCTGCACGATCGCCGATCATAGGTTGAGCCCAATTAACCCATGAACCCAGGGACCGCTGTTCCTTAACCCTAAAGGGCATTCCATTAAAATGTCAGTGGGAATGCCCAGGTATGTAGGGGTAAATTAGTACCAGTTACTATGTCTCCATAGGGTGGAGATAGATTCCAGTTAGCCTTGGTCTCCTTCCTGTCAAGTAAAAACCTACCCGAATTTCAAGGTATGGCTACGCCTATCTTAAAATGTATTCAGTCATAAGGAGGAGATGAAGGAAAGCTAGCCTATGCGTACTTGGGATCTTGACAAATCCAATCTCCTTCGGCACCTCTGCGCCCAGACTGCATGTGATCCGCCATGTTGGCTTCAGTGGTTGGTCGTGGGAGTCAAAATCTAGCAGCCAACCATTAATTTTGGAATGCCTTTATACATTTTAAGAGCCACTTAGTACCCTTAGTTCGATTTAGAATATTCCGTGACCAGCTTAACGCATTTTTTTTTATTTGCTTTTTGTGAACGTTATGTAGCGCAATTCGAGAAGTTCTAAGTGCATCAGGATATGCTGAATCTGTCTCGCATCAAGTCAAAGATGGCGGCTTCCAGCGCCGCGTTGCACGTGCCTTCCGATCATGCTTTTTCTTCGCCGTCTGTTGAAGTTCAATTCATCGGTCAAGAAAAGGTAGGAATCAGGTTATTAACGTTTTTACGGTTTACACATACGCAATGGATGCATGCCGTCGATGAAATTCTTGGCCTGTATTGGTACGTGGCAAGGTCTATTGACAAGTCATAATCATTGGTACGACTTTTGTTTAGTACTGCATTAATGTTAGCGCAGGGAAACCCGTGGCATGAAATTTTATTCATTGAAGCGGCAAAAAAGGAATCCTCATGATATTACGATTGCACATCAAAGTGATCGAGGAATAGATGAGATCGTTACTTATATTCGGGAGTCTTGGGTTTATATAAAAAAAAAGAGGTATTCTGATAGCAAATTCTTTCACCGAAGGAAAGACTAGTAATTGTCATTTCACTAGTAAAATATCTAATCAAAGCAATATATCTATCGAACAAATTGTTTAGGATTTTGATAGGCCAGATATTCTTGACTGGGTGTAGGCTTTGGCTTTGAATGAATGAATGAATGAATGAATGGAGAGTCCATCTCATTTTTCTTTTTGTCACAAATAATTAAAAAAGTGTTTGAAGCTGATGTTGCAGCAAAGAAGGCACCTTAAGCCATATCTCCAAAATCAGTGCATCCTGCATTCCCTTTTCTTCAATTTGAAAATTAATTTGATCTCTTGCCAACACAAAAATACGGCATTCTGAGATGGTTAATAAGCAGAGATGTGTATATTTCATTTACTCAAATGTAGAGTCATGGTCTTGAGCTGACCTGCACTTGTTTTGGCCTCCCAACTATATTTCATGCACTGATTGAATTATCGAAATCTTCAACAAAAAACTTCGGCTGATGGATTATGTGCTTAGATACTGGCACCATTTTCAATCTACTTATTTTAAAACTCTTTTTATTCTTTAAGTGCTACAACTATCCTTGTGACCTCACAGGCTTGGTTCCTGCTTCTGTTTACCAGCATTAATCACTAATTTAATTTTTTTTCTATAGATCAAGAAAGGGTTCCCATTCTATAGGCATCAGGACATGGATGATTTAGATTAAGTTGGAATTCATATCTGTGGTACAATTTGGATCCAATTTAAAGGACTACTGAATGAGCTCTCCAAACTCATGAATGATTGCTGGTATTAGATTTGGCAAGCAATGAAGAACAATTTCATTGTGTCAGTCACATTAAGTTCAGGATGGCACATAATGTGTGATTTGAGGTAGGTTTGGGTGGTCCGCAAGTTGTGTGACTGATCCTGTGGATAGAATTAGCTCAAATTGTTGATTTCATTGGAGAATAATTGCCGCCATCCTTGAGTTGGTGGTACCAAAGCAGTATGGATATATTTGGTGGAAAGAACTGCTTTGTACATTTTCCATCATGCTTATGATTATACACTAATGGAATTTAATTCAAAGCTGGAATTTTGGTGCACCCTCATTTTGAGGCTAAACAAGGCATATAGGTAAAAAAGGTAGAAATTAGAACAATTTAAAACTGGATAAGACTTTTGTCCATGCATGTACTGTATGTGATAGATACACATATTTATCTCATGCATTCATCTAAAAGCACTTCTGAAGAGTTCAGGTAGTTATTTAATTTCAAGGTTTCATTTCTCGTAATTAAATCAATGTTACATGTATATTCATTGTATATTCTGTTCTTTTACTTTGGGCTATAATAAAATCAAGCCCACATGACTTGATTCTTTTGAATCAATTCATCATATTCTTTCTTTCAATAAAGCTAATGATCTTTGGTCAATTTTGGTTATCTAATTCAAACTCATTCTAAGTAGCTATTTCAATCAAATGTGCTAGTGGTATTTGCTGGAGTGTCATCTGTTATAGATGGTGTATGAAAGTAATGTAATTTATCATAATTTCGCCTAGCACCTATAGGCATCACTTATAAGAATAGCACTGACATAGGTAGAGCTCTTAAGAATTTTTTATTTCTTCCTTCTCCATGACAGAAAGAAAGTGCTCGTTTTATGAATTGAGGATTTTACTTCTTGTGTGAACTTGTCTCTCTGTCTTTCACTCTCTGATTGTTGGACATCTTGTTCCTGGTATTTTTTTATTTATTGTGGACTTGCTTATGAACTTTGACTGAAGTTGCAGCCAATTCACCAGGGCAGCTTAAGAATGATTTTTGTCCAGTGTTATCCCTTCAACACTGTACATTTTATTGCTCTACCCTCTAAGAATGCTGCATATTTTTTATAACTTAACATCTCCCCAAAAATTTCAACTCTTAAATAGTAAAAAATTGTGTAATGGTATTGAGATCCACTACCTTGCAATGCTTCTATGAGTTACCTTGATATTGATCATTGGTATCTTGGATATGAAAATTCCTGAAATATGGTTCACTAAACATAAATATTCATTTGCATTTTTCTTATGTTCTTTCACCTAATTCAGGGACGAGGACTCTTCTCATGCAAGAGTTTTAACAAAGGGGATGTGATATTCCGAGAGCAACCAATTGTTTGCAGCCAGTTCCTCTGGAATGAAACTTACAAGTATGCAGCATGTGAATACTGTTTGAAGCCACTGGAGACTGCTGAAGAGAATGTGAGGAGACTCTGCAACAGACCTGATATCATTCTACCTTTCCCTGAGTTATGCATTCTCGACAAGTTCTCTATTACATCTTGCCCTAATTGTGAGGTGAGGTATACCTACTGACTTTCTTGGAGTTATAAATTGTTTATCAGCTCGTAACTCTGCTTGCAATTGTTTTCAGAAAAGGTATTGCTGTAGTTACTGTCAGCAGCGAGCATGGACTGAATACCATGAGACTCTCTGTCTCAGGGGGACCAAGTCAAGTCTCTCCCATCATCCATTAGTCCAGCTTCAGGAAGCATGGAAGTGAGTTTTTTTTTTGCCTATTTTCCTGAAGTTTTTTACTGAGATCTTGACATGGTTGAATTCTTTAGGCAGATGCATTACCCACCAGAAACAGGTAGCATCATGCTGCTGTGCAAAATGATTGCTAGAGTATTGCAGTCTGAAGATAAGATGGCCATGATGGGGGCATTTATGCAGGTTGGCAGCCATCATGATGAAGCTATGCCTCAATCTCAGCACCCAATTATGATTGTTAAGATTTTCTTTTCTTCCACAGATGTGTCATCTTATTGAAGCTGAGAGTATGGAGTTGACCCACAAGCTCCTTGGAGAGGAATTTCAGTCACACTTGGATCTTCTTCATTCTTCAATTCAAAAGTCTTTCCAGTCACCTGACATTCATTTGGTGAGCAAATACCATGACAGAAATATTACTGTATAACTTGTCAAATTATAGAGGTTATACCATAACTAGTAATTGTACAGTGGTTGACCCCAGGTGGATTTCGTTCTCTGGTTGCCCTGGTTGGACGGAATGGTCAAGGAATTGGGACAAGTCCACTGAGTCACTGGGAAAGAGGAGTTACTGCCAAGATATCTGAACCAAGCTTCTCACAGGAAGAGAAAGTGAAAATAGAGGATTTCCTCTCCAAGTTGTATGAAGAAATTGAATCAGGCGAGTGCAAAGCATTTTTCAATGATTTCCATATCACCATGCCATGTGAGGAGGCACCTTAAAACACAACATATGAGATTCATTCAGAAAGTTCTATTTGTTTAATTTATTTTCTGGAAATAACCACATTTTTTGACATTACCTCATATTTTCAAATAGTCTCAGTATTTGTTGCCTTGCTGATTGTATCTTGATATCAATATTGGAAAGTGTCAGCAAATTTTCCCCTCAAGGTTATATTTGCCATACTGGGATATTGCTGAACTTATAGCAGTCCCACTGGAAAATATTTGCTCTCAAGAATTTGTGGCAGAAGTTCTTTGGGGGCATTTTGACATACTGTTTGCAAGCAACTACCAATTCAATTGTTTCACCTTTAACCTTGTTCACCTTGAGTGTGTAAGGAAATAAAAATCAGCATTATGTTCATAAAGTATCACCAATTAACACAAGTAATATAAGGTATTTAGCAAATACATTAGGCAGGAATATGACTATTTTTTTCTAGTGAGGTAGATGCATGATAATAATCGATGATAAAACTTTTCAAATGTGCCCAATGCCTTTTCCTGCAGCAGTCATGTCTGTCTGAGGGAATGTAGCAGTTTTCACTTTGAATAGAAACTCAAATTGAAGAACTGGAATGGTAGTGTATTCAAAACCAGGCTGCTTTGATTTTCTGTATAGTTCCAGTTCTCTGTCCCCATGTCCCATTTGTGGTACTGTCACATTACCATGGCTGAAAATAGACACTTTCTTTTAAATAATACCATGAACATTAACAGCTCACAAGAAGACAAATGAGATTCATTGAGTTCATCAGGAGCTGATGATGGTGTTAGGAGATTTTACTCTCTCTTTGTGCTGTGGCATAACCAGATCTGAGTTTTAGGAATGTACACCACATTGTCTCCTTACTCCCCCATATTGCACAGCAACAGCTCCAGAAAGGCATAAGTTACAACTCAAAAGCATTTCTTCATCTTGGAAAATACATAATCTACAAACATATATATAGTATTTAATGTGAATCAGGATTTTCATCAGGTTCAATAGGCCACTTGGTTACAGTTTCACAGGAAAGCTAAGGTATTATAGGTATATCCTGTGCTGTTTATTTGCCAGGCATGACACAGATGGAAAGGTTCCTCTAAATTTAGCATGTTTGTTAGATGTCTGTATGAATGGATATTGGGAGTGAGGGAGGAATCTCAGTGATTAATACATCCTGAACTTGTGCATCATTGAAATCAGGGCAACTATTTGGGGAGAAGGGGCCTGTTTTCAGTTTTTGGAGTGCTTTGAAAAACAGTAGGTTCAAGAGTGACATGAAATAATTCTTTTACTGTACAATTAAGAGGTAAGTAACAACCAGGTACATCACAGAGAAGCTCCTGAGCAAACAAGGATGAGCTGAAGTAGATTAAACTTCTGGTATATGGGGATTATCTATACAACTAGTGAAAAATTATTTAAGTAAAAACTCATTCTTTATTACCTTTTGGCTTTGGTAGTACCCTTCATGATTGATATTTGTTACATATTTTTTGCACTAGTATGCAGAAGTGCCACAACTACCCTGTTTACAGGATTTTGCCACAAGTGATCCCATCTTCTTTCTTGTCCTGAATGATTACCCATAAGGGAGGCTGCTTCCATCTTGATTAACTTTGGGGTTCTCAATCTACCACTGATATTGGGGAAATGACAGAATTGTTCACCATTCACTTCACAAACTTGGTCACTGGTGAGAAGCATAAGGGGGGGGGGGGGGGAAGCTGAAAGTAACACGCTTTTGTTTTTGATCTTGCTTAATTTGCTTGGTGTTTTAAAAAAATTTCTAGTTTTATCATTTTTTCAAATGTACCTCTTATGAATTGAATTACTTTTTATGCTACAGTGGTTGGCTCCTTCCTGGACACAGAAGGCTCAGGATTGTACTCCATCCAGAGCTGCATTAATCACAGCTGTGTGCCAAATGCTGAGATCACATTCCCAGACAACAATTCTACATTGGCTGTTGTTGCTCTGCAAGACATCCCTGAAGGGACTGAGATCCTCATTTCTTATTTGGATGAATGCACACTTAAGAGAAAGTGGAAGACAAGAAATTCCTTCCTCAGGTAAGATAATTATTTTATATCTGTATTTATGAAGCCCTGAACTTATGGTTTTTAAAAGACTATTGCTGCTTTTACAAAAATGTAATCAACATATTTTTCTAACTTTCAGGGAAAATTATTTATTTTCCTGCGACTGTGAACGGTGCAGAAATGAGTCTCAAATGTCTAGTACCTGTGATGATGACAGTGATGGAAGCCTGGAGGAAGAGGAGGATATATCCTCTTGACCCATTTTCTTCAATCCACAAATCAATAAATTCCATTTGCTTCATACTTCGCTTAAAAGTCTGTATTACCTAATAGCTGCCACCATTTTTATAACTGAATCAAAGATAACACAGAACTAAACATCCAAAAAAAAATTATATGAAAATAAATAAATATCTGCTTTACAAAAAAAAAAATTATAGTCTGTAACCATAACTGAATGAAACTATCAGCTCTCATTCTTTTGTGACTGAGGAGGAATCACAGATTCTAGAAATTTTTCCACATGAGGCCAAATCTTGTTTGTCTCTCTTCCATGGAACTCAATAAGAGTACCCTTCTGTCGGTAGAAGTCAACCACAGGACGAGTATTGGCAGCATACACTTCCAATCTCTTCAGAACTGATTCTGGCTTGTCATCGTCTCGCTGAACCAACTCCTCACCTGTGACATCATCACGTCCCTGGAAGATAAACAGAATAGCATAATTAACATGAGATATCACCTAAGGGTTCTCTCACGAGACAAAAAAATGGATTTTTGGATATGCACAGGAACTTTGGGAGGATTGAAACTGAGATTATAGATTCGTCCAGAGGGTAGGTGAAGCCATCTGTCCTTGATTCGACTGACAATCTCATCAAAGGGGACGTGGAGGCATAGAGCAGCATCGATCAAGTGCTCATCATTCAGAATCTCGGCCTGATATTGTGTTCGTGGAAAGCCTGCATTGTAGAAAATCGGCATGTTAATGAAAATACACAAAGTTAAGACTAGTAGAGTACTGTGCATATTTCAAAGCACCAAAGTGAAAGTTTTGACCTCCATTATTTCAAGATCAGCAGTTTTTTCTCAATTTACAATTAATTCCCCCTAGAATAAAACAGTTTTGTTACTTTCATGACATATGGCAAGTACTATATTTCTATGCAAACTTAACCATCATGTGGTAGGTACGTGTGCCCTGAAACTGGATGAAATAGAGCCATTGTTTAATTATCAAATGCATCCTGATTAGAATCTCACAATAGATACTGAATGTTGTCACAGATCTTGGCAGACCACTGCCAAGTTGATTTAGGATGAACTTCAGCACAGAAGCACCTCTACACTGCTTAATGCCTTATGCAATAGCCACACTACTCCATTCTGCAAATATTTTTACAATTCCAAATCTTGTGTTTGAAAACCTTTGCAATGGGGATCATGTATAAAAATTAATTCAATTGAGTAAGTAATAAACAAATAGATCCATACAGCGCTGCCCAGAGGTTTCCAGGGGCCCAGGACAAAATTAAACCAGAGACCCCTTGAGGCTCTTTGGAGGACCCCCTTGATACGTGGGGCAGATTGCCCCCCCCCGGGCGGCCCTGGATCCATACTAGAATACTTCAAGAGTAGAGGATGTTTGTTAAATATTCATTACTTCTAAGTTAAAAATGAAAAACAACTCCAGCTTCAATTCTCAAGTAACCAGGATGCAAAATAAATTACAATTACACCCTTATCTCTTGAATCAACCAAATAACTCACCATCAAGAAGATAACCAGGGGGTCCAATTTCCTCCAATTCCTTCAAGATCAATTCAATCATGACATGGTTGGGAACGAGGTGCCCCTCATCTATGTACTTCTTTGCCTCCTGACCAACCTCTAAAACCATAAATATGCAAAAATAATTCAGCTGCATTCATTTAAAGGTCATAACCAGTCAGCAATGGTCACTACATACCACTTCCTTTCATGATCTGGCTCCGAAGGAGATCCCCTGAAGATAAATGTTTGAGACCAAATATGCTTTTTATTCGTGATGACACAGTCCCTTTGCCTGAGCCAGGAGCACCAATGATCACAGCACGAAATATGGAACCCATCTTTTGGGAATTTCTAATGATTCATCATTCCATGTTTTTGCCTAAATTCTTGTTCCTATAGGAACAGATGAGAAACCTGCTCACTAGGTGGATCCTCTCTTCAAATCCATGAAGCCAAATATAGTTTGACTCCATCTGGGCATCCTAGTTTTCATTTTCCAAAGGTAAATAAAAAGCTCATGAGCAAAATGGTAAACCACAGAATTTGGATAATTGCAAGCAATAAATTAGGTTTCTTATTTTCTGTAGGGGTTTCTAATTATGTTTGGCTAGAAAATATTTTTTTACAAGAGTTTAAAAATTCCAAACAATCCCAAACCAAAACAGGATGATTGAAGTTGTTTTTGTTTATATGGGCTTTATCATTCACGTAAGACTTTTGCATGGTCAATATCTTTCCTTATGTATTTTATCTAACATGTCTGGCCTTGTGATCCACAAACTTTCATTTCATTATGAAGAATGAAACTTTCATTATTTCATTTTCATTTCATTCTCCACAAGAGCAAGTTCCTTGCCTATATTTCCATGGGAAATGGAAGTATGCTTTCCTATTGGCTTTTCAAAGAACTTCTTTTAGGATGTACAACCATCTTGATTTTACAATCTATAGAGAGTGGCATATTGGAATTTAGCACTAAGGAAATCTATTTTCAAGTTGTCATTTGCTTCTGGCCCAGTGCCACCCTGACTCAAACAATAAACTTGAAGTAAAGAAGAATCAATGAGCCTGTAGCTCAGTGGTCCCTCACCTTCCTATGACTGGCCCAGATGTTCTCTTCTAGATTCTGCCAAGTTTATTTACATCTCCAAGAGGGATGGGCTTGATGTAGCCCAAGACAGCCACAACTTTCCATGGCTTCTCCCTCGTGTACTTTGAAGATACCATGTGACCTGTGTCTGTGATTTTCAGGACTCCATGAGAATGCAAATGCATCAGGAATGATAATAAAAACGTATATTCAACTTCTAAATTTGTGAAGGAACACATGGTTGGGAAGAGGGAACTGTGCAACTCAATATGAGTAGACTTCACTTTCTTTTGTTCTCTGAGCATCACATTCATTGAAGTAAATAAGGATACCCTCCTACAAGTTGCTGGCCGAAGCAAACTAGCCCAAACAAAACATTAGCTAAGCTTCCATACTAGAATCCTACACTGGCACAGACATTGTCTCCAAAGCACTGGATTAGTGAGAAAAAAAGCATATGAACCATTGGCTTCCCCAATCAAAAAATTTTCACCTGGCAGACATCCACACTGAAGGGCAAAATCAATACAATAAGAGACTTATTGCACATTGACATCAAACAGCTGAACATCCAGGGAGTGGTACCACCAGATATTTTTGAAATTCCAAAAAAGAATTAGCAAGAGTATACCTTAGGAAGATTAAAATGCATAAAGAAACCATTATGGTATAGGAGTGGAACAATCACTCTCAGAACATTCATTGGGGAAACATGATAAATCATTTTTCCCACAACAAAAGCACAGAGCTCAAAACTCTCTTTTGAGACTTATTAAATTTTTGTTATATCAGTCCCATGGCCTGTTCACTTATTTTCTTTCTGTATTCAAACACAAAAAAAAACTTTCTGCAGGCCAACTTGCCTGAGAGCACATCAAGGGGACAAAACACATTAATGACACAAACTCTTCTGTCACATCAACTACTTCTCGAGAAAAGAAAAGGCAAGGAAACACAAGATAAGCCTACTCCAAATCAATTCATATCATCAGTGAGATCGATGACCACTCGGTATGGGGAGATGCATGTTTGAAGACACGCCTGTTCACTGGATCAGGCAACATGAAAATGAAGCATGTTCAAGGGAAAAAGCACAGTAGAAGAGTAGGCAAAAAGAATTTCAGTCACTAGGTGTTCAATGAGCCAAGTCAAACAAGGCCCTTGTCATCTCCGTTGTCTAGTCGTTTTTGAGGGGTGACTCCGTCATCTTCCCCATCTTGTATCCTCCTGCAAACAAAAATAATACATTTCCAGCCCTTTAGAAAAACCTCCAATGCTAGCCTTTCCTTTATCAATAATTTTTTCAGATTTTGTCAAAATTCTGATGTCATCAAAGGAGTTCCTGAGATTTCCAAAGCTCACTTGATCTGAATAGCAGATGATGAGGATACAGATGATTGAGTGAACTGTGTCAGTGGAACTGCATAATAATACATGAGAGGTGGAGAACTCTCTACTCCATTGAGGGCTCCACTTCCAATGAGACTATTACTTGAATCTGCCCCATAGAGAAAATGTATGCATATACAAGAGCTAAGAAATGACAAAATAAAAAACCAACGCAAAAAATGCAGATGCCAACCATTGCCTGCACGTGCTGGAGAAACAGGAGCACTCTCTGATATGGGGAGATGTAAAGCAGATCCACGCATGGAAGAGAGGCCACTCTTGTAGGAGGAAGAGGTTCCTGGGCCACCATCAGGCATAAGAGATGTTGGAGGAGAGGATTCAATATGCATGACATGGCTTGGGGATGCTGGTGCAGACCTGAAACAAAAATAAGCAATTCAAATGACACTGTTACCACCATATTGGCAAGTACAAAGAACAATACTACCTCCCAAGTAGCTGTCCACAAGATACAATGCCATACCACATGTTCTATGCTAAATGTATCTCATAATCAAAACACTAATGGAAACTGAATAAGTTCACAAAGACTGCTACAAAATGAAGAGTTTGGAGGAGAAATACCTGCTACTAGCAGTTCCTGGGGATAATGAAGATCGGAAACATGGGATGACTCGCTGTCGCCTCTTTCTGAAGGCCTGTTCTACCAACTTCTGCTCACATGATGGGTCCACTCTCCAAAAAGAACCTTTTCCAGGCTCTTCATGTGACCTTGGTACTTTCATGAAGTACCGATTCAATGACAGATTGTGCCGGATTGAGTTCTGGAAAAAAAAAAGGATGATCGTATAATTTATGGTTTCATCAGACGGGTTGAAGGTAGAGAATAACACCAACTCACCTGCCAGCCCTTGTCAGCTGTTCGATAGAATGGATAGTTCTTGGTGATATATGAATAGATCCCACTTAGTGTAAGTTGTTTATCTTGGGACTGAGATATGGCCTGCACGATCAATTGTGCATAAGAATATGGTGGTTTCCCTTCATCCTATAGAGATTAACAAAAGAAATTGTTTATTTTTGCCATGGACTTGAACATATATATTGGAGTAGTATATCAAGACACTATCTGCTTTCAGTAACATACCTTTGGCACAGGGGTATCATTGATGAGAGGATTTTCAGGCAAGGACAAAAACTTATCTCCAATTTTGTCCTTGCCATTGGAGGTATATGTCAATACTTGCCCTCCTGTAGCTAGACCTGGTTGTCTTTGGTACATGGATAGGAACTCTGGGGGTTCCAAATATCTGATGCCACTACGAGGACTAGCAGGACATGAATTGGCAGCACTGGAAAAGAGAACAGCACAGGTATCAATATTTCAAGAAACCATAACAATTCAAAAGGTAAAAAAAGAGTTTCACAAGACAATTTGATAAATTGTATTTCACTTCTTTCTGATACTGCACCAGTAATGATGAGATTGTTACCATAGGATATAGGAGGTCATAGAGAAGTGGGAGTAATGTTTTTCCCTTTTGAGATCTCATAGAAAGAGGTATATGCCACAAAACATCTGTTAACGATTTTGTTTATTCCAATTCACAGCATTACCACAAAGCAGCAATTATGCACAGTCATTCTAGGGCTTCAGCTTCAGGATCAGGAAACCATATTTGATGAAGAATTTTGCAATGGAAGCATGACTCATCAGTTGATAGAATGAAAACACAGCATAAAAACATGACTGCAGCAAGTCAGCATTTTGCAAACAATATGTTCCAAATGCATCGCACCCCTATTTGTGCCAAGGTTTTCAGCTAGTGGCTTAACCAATTTTCACCCAAATTCCAACTGGGGCTCCTGAATTTTTCCAAGATAGTACTACATGGTATAAGACACATAGGTGCAACATGTTTACCTCAAAAATAGTATGTGGCATATTTGAGAACAAACAGTGAAGACCATTAAAAGAGAAAGCTTCAACCACTGTTCATATCATGCTACTTATGGTAACACAATTGATGAAATCCAAATCCATCCTGATAATAAATGTGAAAAGTGAGGTTTTGAAGAAATAAACCATTTAGGTCTCCATAACTGTCAAAATAGCAATATATATATAAGAAATTCAATTGAAACTATCCATTTGATAAAAGGCAATTTGTACATAGTACAAGGAGTCTTGGGGAAGTCTTTGCAAAGCAATGAAGGAAATTAATGGTTTGTCTTGCCCATCCTTCTATGATCCATTAACAATTTTCACTTGGGAATGGCATATAAGACAAGAAAGGTTTATACCTGATGGTGCCAGTAGGTGAAGGGATAGGGCTGCTTTCCACAAGATCACTTGGGATATTGATTCGCAAGGGAGCCATGAAAGCAGAAGCAGTTGTTCCCATGCTTGCTATTTGAGACTTTGGTACTCTCCCATCTTCTTCAATCAAGGATGTGAACTGGATTTTAATACTTGTACTAGGAAACCGGACAACACACCTGAGAAATAAAACAACATATGCTTTAAAGTCTAGTTCTTATTCACACTTGCACTTGAAACAAACATTCACTCTTGTTCACCAAGGACTAACTGCTAAGATGCATAGAGGAAAATACAACTTCATGCATACACTTTGGGAAGAAGACTTTTGCCGGATCCTTTCCTATGGAAAACTCCATCAATGAAGACACCATTCTTGCCATTGCAGCAAAGGTAAAAATGCGGTTCTTCATAGAATATCTCAAGGTGCCTCCTTGATATGAAGTTTGAATGTCCCATGTGCACGTCCACTTCACCTTTGGAACTGTTTCTCCCAATCACAATGTGATGCTGTCGCATGAAATACTCGAAATCTTTTCCCTCGAGTCTAGCAAGAGCTGCACCCGAGGCATCAGGTTGCCACTGAGCTTTCATGGGGCTGGCTGGGAGAGATTTGAGTGCCAGTAGGGCCCACGCACCACTTTCAGTGGCCTCTGCTGCTGCAGCACTTGCCATGGCAACAAAGGCGTGTTGATAGTCACAAATAGGGATTCACACTTATTTCTGCTTCAGATTTATAACTCACTTAACGTTGGAAAGTTCCATGGGAACTCCAAAAACGCAACAATACATTTCACTGCGCATGATAGCAACGCAACGCACATGTTATGTCAACAACGTGCACGACGCCATTGACTCGGAAGTACGTCGTGTCTTCGACTTCGCAGAATCCGGATATGTAAACAATGTAATCTATGTGTATCTTCAGTCAGAATCTCATTACCTTCATCATTTATCATTCTATATTCATTATACATTATTATGGTATCATAATTGGCAGTTTAAATGCATAGCTTCATTTGAATAATTAATCAATTTGCATATATTCTCTGATATTCAATTATCCGCGTCGAGCATGCCTTTGTTCTCTGTCATAGGCGAGCCATGGCCGAGCTCCAAGGGGGAATCTGGCCTGTGTTCGAACCTTGAGGTTTACCGGCGCTTACTGTTCCCTTAACTTCAAAGGAGTGAGGTTAAGGGTGGCCCCCCTTCAGGTTTGACCCGCTGGCTTTAATAGAAGCAGTTACACCTTGTTCACTCTATGATTGGAGCTAAAGTGTAGTCCCCATCTCACAGAGAATAAGACCAGAGTGACCTGCAGAAGTGTGTGACGTAGCCCTTGTCCATTCGCGAAATTTTGGAGGTATTCCTGCAATACTGTCGTTGCAGACAACATTAAAAAATGGTATGCCTTTTTTCACTTGAACTGGGAGTTTTTTTTAATGAATGAACTGAATGGCTGCTTGAACTATTCACTTAATGTTATTTGCTAACTATTTGTGTGTTTTCTGCTGGGCATGTTGATATAAGTTTTTACGTGGCAAGTTCATGATACATTTAAGACTGATGTGTAAGAATCATTGATGCTGTAAGTTAATTTTAATTGCCATCTGATTTGGTTAGAGATTTTTCGCCTTTCCATTTGTAATTTTCTTCTGCCATGTGATTCTCAAAGCCATAAGATTTATCAAGTTTGCAAATTTTATCTTTAAAGGAAGACATTTTTTCAATGAATGAAAATTCTACTGAGGCTTACTTAATAAAAGTCATAGTTACCTCAGTAGATTGTACCATGAGTCATGGATATGTTCCTGTAGCAGGAATCCAGCTAACATCCCTGTGTCCATAATCCTCTAAAAGTAAATGAACTCTTTTTGTGTGTGAATAACTTTATCAGAAGCATTATTGTTGATGCTTTGTGTTCCTTCGGTTCTGCCGCTAATAATTTGTAGCATTTTTGAGCCACTTCAAAGCCTTTCAAATCCTATAGTTAAAAATGCATTCTTCAAACTGAAATGTTTGGAATGCATGATTAGGTGAAAAAAAAAACTTAATTGTAGGCCCAGTATGAGTGCTTCTGAAGATTCAAAATGTAAATCAATAGTGGAGGTACACAAAAGCATAGTGCAAGCATATTTAATACCTTTTTTGTTTAAAATGAATGAAGTGATAGAAGACCAGGACAATACAATCTTTGGTATTTTATATTTTTCCTGGGATTGGCCTCATGTGGATGTGTTGTGTGTTATATGTGGTTTATTATAAGTTCTTTCTAAGCACCCATTGAATATCTCCAACAATTGGAAGATCTTTTCATCATCAATGAGATACAAAACTTATTCTTTCTTCATCCTCATACTGTGCATTTCTGACAAAAATGTAGATATACTTATTTATGGCTTTCAGAACTCTACCCCTCCTTGTTTCATCTCTCCTCTTCACATGAAATTAATATCTTTCATTTATGCAACCTACCATTGATGAAAAGAAAAGTGAGAAGAGAAATACATGAAGGTATTCTATTGTGCATTCGTAATCAATGCAATTTCTGGAAGTAATATATCTGAAAATTGCCTGAAGGAACATCATAGAGAATTCCATAACATCAGTCTCACTACCTTTGACACATGCTACATGGGGAGTCTTCCATTGTCATCATAACACAGTCCTGATTTTGGTCAGCACAACTTCTAGAGGAAAGCGGAGGTATATGAGAGTGGGGGTTAAAGACTGGAGTTAGCTTTGACTTTTGCACCACCCTGTACATCATACCCACTTAAGGGGTTAATGGTTCCATAAGAAAACATATACCCCTATGAAAAAAAAAAGAGCTCTTCAGGTTAAAAGCCCCCTTGTTTCTCCTAAATGAGGTTTTGCATTTGGACCTTCTCATCGTTCATAACTTCCTATGTGCCATTAATAGCTTCAAAGTTTAAATTGGAATCATGGATGAGGCATGAATGCCTATATGGTAAAACGCAGATGGTGTGTGGAAACAGTTTTGTTGTAATAGGTGTTTGGCATCAATCAAGGCAGCTCACTTGCAAAAACAATGGAAGAAAAGCATATTTCATAGTGCTGTAAAAGAATCATCCATGTCATGTCATGTCAGGCATGAGAGAAGCACAAGGCTTACCTTTGTAATAGTAGAGAGTCAATTAAGAATGAGGATGGAGCAAGACACTAACATTGTAAACAGGTGATAGGGCTAATAGGTTAGAAGGAAGAAGACTTTGACTTAAATGAACTATGTTCAGTGTCTTATGTTTGTGCTAGGAATGCATTAGTCATTAATAATTCCAAGTTAAATTAGGTAGCAATTAAATATAATTAAAGTGAAAAAATAAAGAAGATTGGTAACCTAGGCCTCCTATTTCAGGGATTAGGGAACTCAGAGAAGAAAATATTTATTAGTGTCTGCTTTTATTGCTCAGTGGAAAGGGTTTTCATGGTGCAAATTTGGAAATTGAAGCAAACTTGTTCTAGCTTTTCAGTTGCATGCATGTCATTTCATTCTTTGCCATATTCAATAGCAAGCAAGATCCACCAGGCTTGTTAAGCCCCTTTTCCTACGCCATGGGGTGCACTGGTACGCCCGTGCTTCACCTCCAAGGGATGTAAAAATTCATTTTGGTACAGGAAAGTCACCAGGCCAATATGGACATGGCGGTCAACATGTTAATTATCGTCACCATAATCTTTTCTATTGAGTTCTATTTATATTCTGCAAAAGTATCTGTTATAACCTGCATTTTGTGAAGAAACTTTATTTATCTGTATTTTTAATTGAAATTTCATTTAACTGCATGATCATGCATGACTTAAACCCATGGAACACCATGGTAATTGATAAAAAAAAATTATTTATTTTACTCTTACTTGATTGCAGGCTGAATCCCATCTGTAGCATTCAGGAAAATGCCATAGGCATTTTTCTGTCATTTTCTGTCGGATTCTTGATGGAGTATATTGATAACAAGGTGAAAGTTTTCATAAAGTTCATGTGGTTGACTGTGTGTCCCAAATTGGTTACCTCTGTAACTGAATACACACACAAAAAAAAATTAATTGGCCAATTAGTGTCATGAAACACATGAAGGAGATAGGATTGATAAGTTAGTAAATAAAAAAAAGGACAAAATAAGCCAAGTAAGGATGATTTATGGGTTCCAAGAATATCTCAAGGTCCTTCCTTGTGAAGAAGAGATCTGTTTACCTTATTTGTGTAATTTCTCTATAATTGTGCAAAAATCATGACTTTGCCAGGTACTTTGGCCGATTCATATGCATGAGAAAATGCTGTGGTTAGTTGCTAATACTCTGCTGAGTTTCTGCTGACACTTTTAAGATGGTTGTTGAATCCAGCTTCCCCTGGATTTCTTTCTGAATGAAATTTCCCTTAAATGCAGGGCCGTAAAAAATAAAGGGGTTAAAAGCGACTTTGCATGCTCCCAGATGTCCGATCTCGTTCAAAGTTAGATTCTGTAATCTCCCCTGTCATCTCGTAGTTAAAATCTCATTAGACTCGCCTGCAGCCCATTTTCATCCGCATCTCCCCTCTCTACGCTCGCGTAGCCAAGCGATCAGCGTCAAGAACCGGGTGTGCGCTGCTTGCATCTGTTTATATCGATTGCGAAGAGATGGCTCATGCTGACAGGTTTTCAATTTTGCATGATATTTCTACTCAAATCATGGACGATTCCGATGAAAATGTTGTAAACGCCAATCCGTATTTCCACCGCACGAATGCCGGGTTATCCAAAGCCCTAAACCTAATGTGTGAACATCCAGTACTTCTGCAGCCAGCATTTTAACATAATAAATATCAGGACCGTCCAATTTTCCCCATATTTTTTTTAGAGACTTCCGTCAACTTGCTGTGGCTTCAAGTAACACGAGTCTCTGATGGGAAAGGATAGAGGGCGCTGGCTAAGGCTCTAGCCATCGCTCCCCCCCCCCCCCCCAGCTTCTCTTCCGAAAAGACTGCCTTGCCCCGTCCTTGGTGCTTGTTAAGGACGACTGGCTGGCAGACGTCGCTGCGACTGAGGGCTGTGGGCATTTGGGGTAGCAGTTCCGGGAAGGCACCTATGTCGGTCGGCGCCGGATGGGTGAAAATAGTCATGCCTGCGCTGTAGGAGTCCCGTATTGCTTAAGAGGCGGCCCGTTGGAAGGTATCCCATAAGGAGATTTATTTGAAATTCAAGTTGGGAGTCTCTGATTTGCATCATCCCCGCTCCTCGTTCGAGCACCACAGCCAGGGTCCCCCCCGAAAAGTCTTGGGGGGTGGCATTTTCCAGGTGAAAAGACATCCGATCCCGATCGGATGTTATTCGGTCGGTCATCTTCGACCGCAGGGCTCTCACCCCCTTCGACGCCTCGCCATCCCCCCGGGGAGGCCACCCACACACCCCAGCCTCCACCCACACACCCCGACCTCCACACACCCCAGCCTCCACCCACCTGAAAAGACGTGGCTTCTTATGGCTTCGCTCGTTATTCATGCTTTATGAGTCTGTTTTTCCTGTCTTCGTCGCTGTCGGGTGAATCGACGTGCAACCCCCGAAACCCCATATCGCACTGTTTACACTCCGGAAGAAAAGTTTTGGGTCGCTTTTGTGCTCGGCCGATCCCGGCTATGACGAGAGTCCGTGCTTTGTTCCGCTCCGGGGGAAGGAGTGCGTGGTAATAAAATAGAAGAGGAAGGTGGCAGGGATGTGTGAATGGGTGTAGACCAAGCCCAGACAAATAACCGTGCAAGATTGCAGGCCGGCAATTCCTTCTTAATCACAAAGGGCCTGCTTTTTCTCTCCGCCTGGGGGCATTTTTTCGTTTCCCCTCTTTCGGGTCTCCGGCTTTTCTCCGGGTCGACGTCGTGCACTCGGCATCGGCTTACCTGGTGCTTACGCACCGGTTTCCCTCTTGGGGGTTCCCTTTCCCCAGCGGAAGTCTGAAGTTCAACAGCTTTCTTATCGCCCGAGATAAGACGGTGCCGACTGTGCTTTTTTTTTTTTCCTTCCGTTCTCTTATGCAATTCGGAAGAGGATAGGGAGACTGGAGAAAGAATGGAGGGGAGAGAAGAGATAGGCAAGGGGGAAAAAAAAAAGATCCGCGAACTTGTCATACAGGTGGAGTGTCCTTTATACAGCCGCCATTTCCTCTCTCCTCTTTGTCATGAACCCTCCCCCCTCCCCCCCCCCCCCCCCCCCCCCCCCCCTCCCCCCCCCCCCCCCCCCCCCCCCCCCCCCCCCCCCCCCCCCCCCCCCCCCCCCCCCCCCCCCC